CTGAGTGAAAAATGTACCATAGCAAATATCGCTCAAATTGACTCAAATGTTGTACAGTCAACTCTCCCGTAGTTGATATTTAAGAAAACATTGAGTTAAGGAGGATATCGAGTAACGAAGGTAAACTTTGCAAATGTTTATGGGAAAGTGGTTGAAACATCCTGCATGTTCATCGATTTAGAGAGAATATCAAGTTACGGAAAGATCAAGTAAGGGAAAGTTGACTGCATGAAATGTGTAAAAGTTTTTTTTTTTTTTTTTTTCCTTTGGTTTGTTTTTTCCGTCGATCTTGTTTTCCGTGCTGAGCACCAATGCTACCGACGTGCCAGGAAGGCAGCTCCCACACCTGGACCCTACCTATCGACCCATCAACTCATGAACCGGGGACCAACGGCTTTACTTCCCATCCGAAGGAAGGCGTGATCAGAGATGTTATGCCTCAGAACATCCCGGCGGCGCCGACTGGGATTGAACCCAGGCCTGCTGGGGTGAGAGGTAATCACGCTTACTACTACACCACCGGCGCCGTTATAAAATGTGTAAAAGTTGACTGTATGAAATGAGTAAAAGTTGACTCACATTTGGCATAATAAGACAATTTTATAAGTCCCTCAAGGCTTTGGAAGGTTGGATTTGAACCTCAACCCCCTTTCTATCTTCGCTGCACCAGTGTGATTCTATAATCACTGGCGTGCAAACGGTGGGGCAAGGTGAGGCAATAGCCCCCCCCCCTTTATAAATAAGATTTGTTCCACATTTACAAAATTATGATATAAAATAACTTGATTTCTTGATAACTTGATTTGAAGGTAAAATAACTTCATTTCCTAACATAAGGGCACTGAAAATCTTTTATTGCGTCAATTCCTTTTGAGATGGAGCTTGAAAAATGCAAAGGTGCATGAAGAGTCAAATCACCACGGTGCATACAAAATTTTTTGGTGTGGTTCATGGAGGGTTCAAAGAAGAGGGTAAATTTAGGGTTGACAAAAATCACCTTCGTGGTGGTAATTTGAAGAAAAAGCTTTTTATTGAATATTTCTGGTGTAAAAATTTCATCAAGGTGGTGCATGGAGGGACTAATCAAAATGAATAACTCTGGTGGAAATATTCAATCACGCTAAAAATTTGAAGGTGCGCATTTAACTGAAAATTTCTGGTGGAAAGTTTACAACATTGTGGTGAATGTAGAAGCAAGGTTTATTCATTTTTCTGGTGCATAATTTGCATCATTCTGATGAATGCAAGCATCATTGAAAATTTATGGTGTAAATGATGTAAATGGTGCATGAAGAGGCAAAGCCTTAAAATTGCACCACAAAGGTGCATGGTGAAAAAACTTCACTGACAATTTTTGGTGCACCGTTCTGGTGAATGGATGAGCATGCTTTATTGTAAATTTCTACTGCAAACTTGGCATCGCTCTGATAAATGAAATGAACAGAAAATTTTTGGTGCTCAAGCTTTATTTAAAATTAAGCTATATTGAAAATTTCTGGTGGAAAATCTGCACCGTTCTGGTGAACGGATGGGCAAGCTTTTCGGAAAATTTTTGCTCTTGAATTTGCATCTTTCTGCTGAATAGAGAAACACATTTTAATAATAATTTCTGGTGTAAAATTTGCATAATTCTGATGATTGGAGGGAAGCTGCTTTACTGAAAATTTATGATGACAAATCTGAAAATAGGGGCAAGCTTTATTTACTGGAAAACCTGCAACATTCTGATAATGGGAGAAGCCAGCTATTTTGAAAATGTCTGGTGGAAAATGGAAAAAAAGAAATCTGCACCAATCAAAAGATTGCAGAAGCAATTTTTATTGAACATTAACGGTTGAAAATTTGCATCGTTCTACCAATTGAAATTTTCTGTTGTAAAATTACCTAGGGGCATTGTATTGAACATTTTTGGTGTAAGATTTGTAACAATCTGCTGCATGAAGGGGCAAGCTGAATTGAAAATTTCTGATGTAAAAATTGCACAGGTCTGGTGAATGGAGGGGTAAGTTTTATTGAACATTTCTGGTAGAAAAACTACAACGTTTTGGAGAATGGATGGACAACTTAAACTTGACTTCCGAGAAGAACCTCAAGGGTATTGATCTGTGGACAGTTCCAAAAGAAAAGATTTCTGGGGATAATTTCATGAAAATTCTGCGAATAATTTCTAGTGAATCCTATCTGTATTTCCAAGATAATTTAGAAAAGAATACCGAGAGAATTAAATTTGGAATGAAATTCCAATGGGATGTTGAGGAAAATTTCAAGGGAATTCCGAAGATAATTTCAAGCTCATTCTGGGAAAAAATTCTGGAGAATACAGAGGAAATTCTTCTGAAACTTTAGGGGAATTTCAGTTCCAAGGTGTTCTGAGAAGAAAAAAAAAGTTCTAAAATATTCCGAGAAGAACCTCAAGGATATTGAATTCTTAGGACAGTTCCAAAATATTTCTGGGGAAAATTCAAAGAAAATTCTGAGGATAATTTCTAGTGCATCCTGCAGATACTTCCAAGATAATTTCAAAAAGAATACAGAGAAAATCTAATTTTGAGTGAAATTCCAAAAGGATTTTAAGTAAAATTTAAAGCGAATTCCGAGGATAATTTCTAGCTCATTCCGGGAAAAATTTCTGATGCTCTAAAGGAATTTCAGTTCCAAGGTGTTCTGAGAAAAAAAAATCATGAAGAGTTCTAAATATAATTCCAGTGGACTTCTGAGGGAAATTTCAAAAGAGCTCTTAGGAGAGTTGTAAAAAATCCGAGAAGAACCTCAAGGCTATTGAATTCTGAGGACAGTTCCAAAGGGTTTCTGGGGAGTATTCGAGGAAAATTCTGCGAATAATTTCTTGTGAATCCAAGATAATTCCGAAAATAATACCGAGAAAATTAAATTTTTAGTGAAATTCCAAAGGGATTTTGAGGAAAATTTCAAGGAAGTTCCAATAATTACTATTTCATTCCGGGAATAATTTCTGGATAGTACTGAGGAAATTCTTCTGAAACTTTCAGAAGGAAGGGAATTTCAGGTCCAAGCTGTTTTGAGTAAAATTCAAGAAGAGTTCTTAAAATAATTCCAGAGGACTTCTGAGAAGAACCTTGGTCTATTGTTGTCTTACTATGAATTTGTCTAAGAATCTTCTCTGAAAATTTCAAGTCATTTGTTTCCGTGGTTAAAAAGTTACAGCTGTTTATGTGCTCTGCAATAAATTCAGGATTGTCCTTTATACCATCTTTAAAACATGTTGAATGTTCGGCATCATTTCCTGTCACCCCGACTGGCGGTACTTTAGGACAGGGTTTACACGCTCATTCCTTCGCACAAGTCGTCATTCCGTTAACAATCCTGTGCTCGCTTGTCAAAATAGTTGTGTGCGCTTTTGTTCCAATTGTTACTTATTTCTTAAACCTTTTTAATGATCCTATAAGCCTTGATATTTAGTTCAAAATTTGAAAAAAAAAATAGTAAGACAATTTTCGTTGAAAATGACCAAGTTCAACGTACTCGCAACGGTAATAGTAAAGTGTAACTACAACAGCATACAAGGGCTTACAAAACCTTGAAAAAGTAAAAAATAAACTGTAACGATGCCTTCAAAATATACAAAAAAAACGTGCTGCAAAAAATTTCAGAAAGGTAACTGAATAAAATATGAGAGCAGTACCTTGAAGAATATATTTTCTTTGGTTTATATTTTAACCTGTAAAGAAGAGCATAACGCAAAACATTATCACGATGATTCCTACAGGGTTCAGAAATTGGAAGAAAGCGACCGAGTTATTGGGCAAACACAACCGCACGTGATACCCATGTTGGTAGTATGGAAGCGTGGAAGAATTTCAAAACCAGGAAGGGTATCGACGAAGAACAGGACCACCAAAAAACAGCTATGATTGCTGCTAATGAGGTAAAGCGTCTACAAAATCGCTGTATAATGAATTCATCGATATTGTGCGCATACTTTGCAAAGGTGGCCAACCACTTCGTGCCGGACATTCGGAAGGAGCGGAAAGTGTGCCGCCCAGTTGGTGGCTAACTACGATCCTGTGCTGGAAAAACACTTGGCGGGAGGTTCCAACAATTGCCAGTACACAAGTAACCGTATTCAAAATGACATGATTACGTCGTTGTACAATGTAATGTTGCGGAATATTGCGAAAACCTTGCGAGGAAAACTAGTGGCAATCATTGCAGATGAGACGAGCGATTGTGGCCACCACGAGCACTTGGTGATTGTCATCAGGTATATTGATAATGATGGGATTAAATTGCCAATTCCATTGGATGTCTGAGAGCAGTTTGCATTGCAGAAGATGAACCACTAACGGAGCAAAAAATTAATGAAATTAGCTAGATTGAGCAATAGGGAAACAGCGGTGGGTGGACAGCACCATCCACCACGCAATTTGGAGTACTCCCCATCCCCAGATTAAATTCACCATAGAAAAAAAATTGCTTCTCCTTAGCAAGATTCCTGTGCTTGCTAGTAGTATAATGGTTGTGTAGACTGTAGATTGTGTAGACTGTAGATTGTGACAACTTTTGAATTTTATGTTTTATATTGCTTGTGCTAATTTGACGAGAATTGCTGTCAGACGGATTATATTAAATAAATAAATATAGTAATAAATTACACATTAAGCATTGTGCATTTATCAAAAGAAACTGCTCGAAAAACGGCTTAAATGCGGGATACTTGACACTTTATGGTAATTTGAAATTGTTTTTTTTTTCCTGCAAAGTTGACAAACCATAAACGAGCAATATATATTCCCATAGTACTCGCGCACCTTCACCACCAACACAAACAATCAAAACAATTCACTATGCTAACAACCTCACGTGCCTTCCTCTATGACTAACATCAAAGTCAGTAGAGCTGTACTGACAAGTGTTCAAGTGCTTTTTGTTATCTTTGATTAGCTTATCAAACCCATCCGGGAGAAATAGCTACGTTATTAGTCGGCGCTTATCACAATCATATGGAAGTGGCACGAACTGAGCCGACATCGATTCTCAGTTGCACCCAGACAGCCATGCAAGATGCATCTAATCAATGGAAAGCGTTACCTGAAAGCAGCACGCGAAGGCAACGTGAAAGTGCTGATGGAAGCCAATCGATGGGAAGTTAATATGGCCGATGAAAATGGCATGAGCCCTCTCCTTTGGGCAGCTCACGAAGGACACACGGAAGCTGTACGGATTCTGCTTAAACGCAAAAGCAAGATTAGCAAGGTGGACAACTTTGGCAACTCGGCGCTTCATCTAGCCGCGGCTCGGGGACACCTGGAGTGTGTGCAATTGGTGATTAGCAAGGGGGCCAATCTGTACGGGCTGGACGGTGGTCAACGAACGGCAAGTGATTTGGCAAGAATTGGAGAGTGGGATGATGTGGTGGAATTATTGGAATTGAGGATGAAAGTGATAGAAGAGAGAAATCCAAAACTGGTGTTAAAATTGCAAGCGTTGGCTAGTAAGCAGTTTTTGGAAATTAAGGAGAAAAAATCTGAAACTGGAAATAATATTGTACTGAAAAGTGACGAAAGATTTCAGGACGAAGAAAAGATCCATCAAGATGAATTCCGAAGTGTAACAAATAGTCCCGAAGATAATCCTACTGAAGAAGAATTGTATCAGCATAATTCCAGTATATTAGGGTTACTTCAGCACAAAACTGGTGGCATAACGTCAAGCACCAGTAAAAGTGCCGCTCGATCTTATTTGGTATTTTCGGAGCTAGTCAAGGAACAATCAATCAACCAAACCATTGTCAACCGTCTCGAAGCACGACCACAACGAAAATCCATCAAACAAGTCCATCCCACAGCCGACGATGGTGATACTGACGACTCAGAGGAAGACCCCACCGCAGACTCATCTGAAAGTTCCCTTCTATCATTTCTCAAAATATACGACCTCCAGCGGTATCATCAGCAGCTTGTGGATAAAGAAATTGATTTGAACGGGTTGAAGCTGATGACGGAGCATGACATAAAAGCACTGGGACTCCCACTTGGTCCTCATCGGAAGCTGTGCGTTGCTTTGGAAGAGTACAAGTCTGCCCAAAAATGGGACCAAGCGTAGCAGCAGATCCGTTGAACCCTGTCGTCCCTCCTGTCAATGACAAGGGACACGCGGAAAACTGCTCACACAAATATAAAAAAATCCCGTCATAGCCCGTTGCCAGCTTTCCTCAAACGTCATAAAACCATTTATCTCTTTCGAACGCTTGGAATCGGTGTCAGTGTCATTTCACTCTCGTCTCATACCGGAATCATGATTATAACGCACTTTCTTCACCGCACCGTCGAAGAGCGAGGCTACCCCTCAAGGAAGGAAAAACGAGGGCGGTGCAAGATGAAGATTGAAAAAGGCACCACGCATAAACTGTGACCTCAATGCGATAGCTGAGCCCGCCTTACTGAGGCCGATCCTCAGAAAGCTTCATCATTCTCATCGAAACTCAACGCCAGAGCTCGAGTCCAACAAAGATACATTGGATTACTCCAACTGTCGGAATTTCGAGGAAAAATCTACTGTGTCATAGTCGCTCGGTGCTATCACTCCTCCTGTGTGGTGCCCCGGTGCCTGATAGTAGGGCTATCGTGGGCGGGTAGAATATTGCCGAGATAAGGCACTAGACGGAGCAAAACGAGCAGATGTCATGCCGAACAAAGAGACCTACACCTACTATGATGTCGGTCGTATATAAATCCAGAAAGGAAGGAGTTTCAGAACAACGACGGAGCAACCAAGTTTCGTGCTCCAGTAACCACGAGACCGAAATAAACCGGATTCGTGCTCTCGGTACAATATGATCCATTGTAATTTCTATATTTCGCTTCCATATTTATGAGTTGGTGGGTTGGTACGTCGAATGAATGATTTGTTCCATAAATTGAGTTGTCAATAAATTGATGCTACGACAGACATAGTTTCGAGTTTTTGTTGCAACCGATGAAAGCCATTGCCAGCAGAAAAGGGGTACTTTACTTTCTTAAGCTTTCATGAGAAAGATATGATTTAGAAAACCTTTGAATTTTTACTATTTTAGAGGAGCTTGTGATGCTGAAAAGCTGTGAAATTTCTGTAGGTCAAATCATTTACTACCCAGAAACCTTTTCTCCTGCATTATTGTAGAACTTGGTACCAAATACGATTTTCATGGGCCTCATTTCGCAAGTCGAAACGTCAAACTTTTTCATGCAAGCGTTCATACATAGATGCTTTTGGTATTTTAAAGTAAGGATGAAAGTTCTAGATATTTTTGATTTCTAAGGATCATTTATTGGACAATTGTTACATTTAAGATTGTGTATTATGAGCAGCGTTGCCAGGTCATTTTCAGAAAAATCTGGACCAGTTAAAATATAAAATCTGGAAAAATCTGGAATGCTCCAAAAAATCCTGTTTTTAACATTATGCTATTGAAAACAAAGTGATGTGCCAATCTCCCGTAAAACGCCGCCGGGATGTTCTGAGGCATAACATCTCTGATCACGCCTTCCTTCGGATGGGAAGTAAAGCCGTTGGTCCCCGGTTCATGAGTTGATGGGTCGATAGGTAGGGTCCAGGTGTGGGAGCTGCCTTCCTGGCACGTCGGTAGCATTGGTGCTCAGCACGGAAAACAAGATCGACGGAAAAAAACAAATCAAAGGAAAGAATGGTTATGAATTACATGTTTAAATAAATTGTATAAAGCAACTTGTGAGCATTGCTAAATCATCCAAAAGTTGAAAGGTATTGACACAGTGTGCCCAAAAAGTTTAAGTATCCATTTTGCAGCAGTCCAAAAATTGAATTAAATGTGGGTAAAATACTGCAAAAATATTTTTCGAATTGTTTTTTTTTTTAACTGTAACAGAAGAGTGAGAAGCAAAGAATTAAGCAAATTTGATGGGATGGATTTCTTTTAACTAATGGTTGATGTAATCCTTACTATTTGATGCAGTACCAGAATATAAAGATGTTATTAGTACTAAATAATTGAGGTTGATCAAATTTTCAATTCAAATCTTGACATCATACAACACACAACACCCAATAGACCAGTAGGCAATTTTATTTTGAAGCCAAATTCACCTGGCTGAATTGGGAATCAAAGCCTAACATCGTGGTACTCACACCAAGTTTACCTAACCTACGGGTAACTCCACTATTTGCATGACCATTTCGAATAATGTTATGCCAAAGAATTACTAAAATGAAAGTCTGATAGCGTCATTTTTGAAGTCTCAGGATCTTGAAGTTTTTCCTGGGTCCCAGATAATGAAAAATTTTGTTTGTCTGAATTTTCATGGAACCCAGGATATCTTCGCGCTTTTTTGGAGTTCCATTGGAATGATCCTAGAATTTCTTCATACTTATTTCTGGATTCCCTTAAACTAATCTTGATAATATACAAACTTTTCTAGAAACATTCTAAGAGTTCATAGCATTACCTCTTGTTATTTTTTATAAATTACTCTCCAATTCCACAATTCCCTCAAACTGGTAATAATTTCCAAGAATTGGCATAATTTTGTGCTCATTTTTCCCTATGAAATTCTTAAAATATTCTTAATAATTTCCTTGGTGTACTCTTCAGAATGACCGTCAACTCTTCTCAGACTTATCCGATAATTACCTTTGAACTGCTTTGTAGGTAAGCTCAGAATTATTTTGAAATCCTCTTCAGCATTTCCTAAGTACTCAATTACTTTGCCAAAATGGCCTTGAAAGTCTCACAGAAATCGCGCATGATTCCGTTAAAATATCTAAACAATTTATCAAAATGAATCTCTATAGAAACATTGGACAGAATCCCACTGAAATTTTTCTCACGATTCGCATACTCCATAAGTTTCATCATAACATTTTTTTTTCTATGATTTCTCTTCCGGATTGTATTTCCTACATTCACAAAATCTCCAAGCAATTGTCATCAGAGTTGACAAGACAATTGACATCGTCTTCAACCGGAGGTTACACAGACTGAATATTTAACACTAGACAACGGACAACACACCACACCCAGTAGACCAGAAGGGAAATTTTTAGGTTGCCAAAATTTGCACCGGCTGGAGCGGGAATCAAACCCTCACTTCATGGCACTAACAGTACGCCTGAACGACGGATTACGCCGCACGTTCGGGTGACGCCGCACGTTCGGGTGACGCCTACAAAAATTGATGGAACTCTACTCAGAATTGGCTTGAAGTTCTCTTTTGATTTCCCAAGGAATTCACCTCACACTTCACTGGGAACTATTTTCAGAATTACCTTCAAATTCCAATAATGTCCAACGTTGATGGCCTTTAATAATAAAAGTAGCAAGTTTGGATTTTAAGGTCTAAATGCAAGGATTCCCATACATTCTCTGGACTTCCTTTAACTTCACTGGAAGTCCTTAGTACTTTTTAAAAGCTACACAATTTTTCTGAAGTTAATGAAACTGCTTTGACGTTCTTCCGAAGTTTTGTAAAAAAAAAAAAAACATTCTGATGCTGATGTTCTGTACTTCACTTAAAATCTTTAAATTTCCTTGAAATTTCTGGACTTCCATAAATTTTCCTAACGATCATGTATCATCTTTGAAGTTCCCGCGATGTTTCTGGAATTTTAGGAATTTTACCAGTTTCCATGGAGTTATCGAATCTTCTTTAAAAGTTATGTAATTTCCCTGAAATTAATGGCTAAGATTCTCTGATGTTCCGTGAAGTTCTCGGAACTTCTTCAAAGTTCGTGAAATTCTCGGTTTTCTGACTCCTCTGAACTATGAAGTTCCCAAAAAATTCGGATGACTCTTAAACGTCTCTGCGTTCTCTTCATCTTCCTCTTTGCATTTCAAGCTTAAAGCTTATCGCAGTTTAGTTTATTGCGTGCTCTTAACGTAGTGTTCTAGATGCACTTCCACAGTTATTAATTGAGAGCTTTCGATGCCTCCATTAGTATACAGCCATTCCATAGCAAAACGATATAGTGGTTCTCAGAATTTCGTAACAATTATCATGTTTAGACATTTCTAGTCTAGGATCGGAAATTGAAATAAGTAAGTAATGTAACCATGTTACATTCGATATTCATCAAACATGATAATTTCAAGAAATCGTAACTCAAAAACGAAGAAAAATACATCGCTGATTTTTTTATATGTAGTGTAGAAAAGCATAAATAAAAAAAAACCTTTTACGCCCATTGTCTACAAACCATGAAAACCATAAAAAAACAAATATAATCAAAATTCTTTCATACAAAACTCCAATTTTAAATTTTTTTCAATTCTTTTCTGGAAAGTATTTTTAATAACATTTCATTTGATATTTTGATTATTCAAATCGGCTCAGTGTTTCAAAAGTTATGATTTTTATAAAATGTAATTTTTGGAAAAAAATAGACAAAATACGATTCCTCATTTAGATGGAAATGGTCACCCTAGTGAGGAAGAAAAAACGGGTATAATATTTTCGATAAGGAACAAAACTACAAATTGTTACGAAATTCTGAGACCCACTTTATCGTTTTGCTACGGAATGGCTGATAATTGTGTTGCAAGATCAATCATACTCTATGCCCAGGGAAGTCGAAAAAAAAAATTTCAACTCGAAAACTTCCTAAACCGGACCGGAAATTGAACCCAGCCACCTCCAGCATGGTCTTGCTTTGTAGCTGCGCCTTTACCAACTGAGCTAAGGGAGGCCCCCTCTGCAGTTCTCTGAACTTCTTGAAAATCTGGAAACTTCTAAAAAAAGTCCGCTATTTTTCTGGATTTAACAGATTTGAAATCATCTTCCGTGACGTTCCCTCAGTTCTCGAAACAGGCCTGAAGCTTACGGAACATCATGTAAAATGGTTTTGCATTTTCCTGATACGATTTTTTGCCTGGTAAACTACCGACTTTGATGATGAAACATGTGAAAACAACATCAAGTTAATTTGGCTCACTGAGCTAAGTAATCGCATATCAGTCCCATTCTGAAATTCGATCGTCTATAGGTCAACTTACAGTTCTTTTTTTTTTGATTTGTCATATGTTGTGCTTCGTAACTTTTACTGCCATTTTCTCTATGGCAACTTTTCCATATGGGACTGATATGCAATTATAGGCAGTAAACTAATTTTATAAAAAGATAGTCACTATCCACCTGAACAACTTTGCCCAAGACATCAAACCCCTAGGATGCATATATGTCCAACAAAAGTACCATTCTGGTGGCGAAACGTCCTTTGGCAAATGACATCTTCGGCGAAATGTTCTTTAGCGAAAGGACTGGCTGCGAAATGACCCGGATTCCGTTGGCAGTGCTGAAATAATCGATTCTTCGCCATCGGTTAGTTAGGAAGCGCCAAAAAACTTAATTTTGCGTGTAGCCCAAACGTGACTCTTCCACTGCTTGTTTACGTTCGCAAATTTACGAAAGATAAGGGAGAAGTAGGGGGAAATGGATGTAATGTCAGCCTAAGTCCCCCATACATAAATTCAGCAATCGACTAAATTTTCAATAGCGACCTAAAATATCCATAAGTACCCACTAGTGTGCACAGGAATCTTGTTAAGAAGGGGCAATTTTTTTTTCTATGGTGCATTTAATCTGGGGATGGGAGTACTCCAAAGTGCGTGGTGGATGGTGCTGTCCTCCCACCACTGTTTCCCTACTGTTCAATTTAGCTAATTTTATTTATTTTTTGCTCCGGTGGTGGTTCATCTTCTGCAATGCAAACTGCTTTCAGACAGCCAATTTAGTCGCATCGAAAATTTGGATGATGACCGGTTCTTCAAATGGTTGCAATAATAGGACTTGAACCGAAATGATACATTTGCTGCAATGAAATATCCCAAGAAATAATTTATAATCCCAGCATCTCTACTTTCAATTACCATAGAGCTGATTAGGAGCAATATCGAACATTTATGGAATATAACTTCGATCCAAACATTCCTTTGCAAACCA